AGATAATAAATTTTCTTTATTACATAATTAAATATTATTACTAATTAACTAAATACATATATTTTTTTAATTTTAATACACTACTAAGAAGTCAATCATATCAATATTTAAATTGACTTTTATTATTTCAATAAAGAAATAAAAATGAAATATGTAAAAATTTATATATGAAACGATATAAATTTATGTTATGCTAATATATAATAATTTATTCAATCTTAATAATAATACACAACATACAATAATACAAATATTTTTATTTTGTTACTAAATATAGTAAAATATAAATAAATTTTTTGAAAAATTATTTAAAAATTTTTATGATAAAAAATTACAATAGAAAATAATGCATTTGAAAGAAACAAAAATAGTTTTTTTCTTCTTTTATAACTTAACTAATAATTTTTCTTGAATTTTTAATTTGATGAAGTTATAGAAAAGCTACTTCTTCTTTGATTTCGATGACTTTTAAGTATATTATAGAGAACAAAATTTTGAATAATTTTTTCTTTATACATTTTTCTTTATTTATATATTTTTCTTTATAACCGATTTTAGCTTTCGGGATATTTATAAAAAAATTGTTTTTTATTATATAGAATTTTATGAATATATATTTACATTCATGATAACGTAATATTCACTTATTTTTTGTTAATACAATGTATTCTAAAAATATAGAAACATTCCTTAACTGAAGATTCCTGAGATGATTTCAAGCAACATTTTCCTTTGCAAAAATTTTCGTTATGATTTTTTTAACGAGTTATTAACAAAAAAAACTAATCACGAAATGTGTAGCATAATCAAACAGCGATGTTAGCGGTTACATGCCATCGCGCTGACCGAACACGAAGTTCAAGCAACATATTTGATAGAAAATATGTTGAATATAACAAATATTTTTTTTTTTATAAAAAATTATATAGAATTATATCATGAACAATCAATAAACTATAATATTCCATATAATATATAATATATATATTATTAAATTTATTAAAACTAAGTTTATATGAATTTTTTTATATAAACAAAATCTTATTTTTGATTATTCGAACTTTAGTAAATTTCCTATTATCTGAATTACGATCAAATGTCATTTTATTTATATAAATTTTTTTATAATATAATATAATTGAAAATATACATTGTATTTATGATACAAAATAACAGAATTCATCAGATAATTATTATGCTTGCAAAATTATTTCTAAATTTATATTTGATATTATTATTGCTTTTTTTTTCATCAAATTCTTTTATATAAATGTAAATTCCTATTAATTAACAAGAAATAAATTAATGAATTAAGTGATCCTATTATATGAACAGCCTGATTATTTGAACGTACTTCATGCTCGATAAATTCATATAAATAAAATTAACATATCACAACAAATAATAATAGGTATATATAATATAATAGGTACATTCGATCAAAAAACTACTTTCTCATGAATTGCGAAAAACTTGATAACTTTACATTATATAATACTTGAATATTTCACAAATTCATCATTATTATTGTTTATTCATAGAAATCCATAAATTGCCAAAGTTTTCTATGAATAAATACTAAGATATAGTAATATTAACGTTTTTTGGATATCGTTATTGTGATGTATTTATATAAACAATTGACGTTGTAGTTACACGCTGACATTTTTTCAAAGATGTATACGTATACACAAATTCCATACAAATTCCATATAGTTATAAATTCCAAATAGTTATAAATATTTCAAAAATTAAAGTCAATTATATATACAGAAAAAAATTATTTAGAATTTTTTATAACATATTTAAGATATTAAATAGGAAATAATTTTTTTGCAATTCCAACAAATATCTTTTATATGTTATATTTATTATAAGAATTGAAACAATCTATCTTGAATTGACTTTGTTATGGCATTGACTTTGTTAAATAAAAAATGATATTTTCATCTTCCAATAATTAATATTTAAAGTTATTTTTACAGATATTTCGAATAATTTTTTAATTTAAAATTAAAATCATTATTTTCATTATTTCTTAATTAAATAAAATAATAGTTAAAAAGAATTATTTTACATAATTTAATAATAATTTAATAATTTTTAGAAAGTATTTATTTATATATAGTTTTTTAAAATGTTTTATTCAAATATATTTAGATTAATTAGGAATTTTGATAATTAAAAAAAAAAAGATGTATGTAATATTTATCTAAAAAATAAATTTTTTCATATGAATAAAGTCTAAATTATATTATTTAAAATCACATAGACATATATTTACTTTATATTTCAAAATCAATTTCAGAAATATATTATTAAAATTTATAAAAAATTTTTCTATTAATTAATATTCTTAAAATAATATTTTAATTACCATCAAATACTATATGATATTAAATAAAATTAAATTTCATACTTAATATCTCATGTTATATCTCTTATTTTATAATTACTTTAATAAAAATCAATAATAATTTAACAATAAACATAAGTCAACGATTTTCATCTGCTAATTTTTTTGATATTGCAATAATTCATAATGTTTATTCACATTCTTGATATTAAAGAAATTATAATTTTATCTTTTCACAATCATTTTAAAGTAATAAATAATATTCAGTACAATTAATTTGTAATAATAACACTTCGAACTTAGGAAAGAGATTGTAAGATGATCACATTAGAAATTTAATATGAGAGATGATAAAAAATAGCGAAACGTATCAAATGGATATTATCTCGAAGAATTTTCATATTATTGAGTAGAGGAGATAAGCTTGATCATCTTACTCTTCGCAAAGAAAAGTTTCCTCAGTTGACAAAATAAAATTCATAATTGCCTTAATTTTACTATCTACATATTATTGTTGTTACAATAATTGTAATTCAACGAAGCAAAATTTTTCAGAAAACATCATTGATCTTATCGTTTTTTCAATTTGACTTCTACTTTTATCTTTTGTCTAATTCGCGCTATAAAAAATAAAAATAATTTTAATTTATCTATTACGATTTTAGATAATGTTTTATCGCTTAGATAATGTTTATAATGTTTAATTATATATTTTATTAATATGTGTCAGATTGATTGTTTTTTTTAATTTAAAAGTTATAGATTATTGATCAATTCTTAAGTTTAAGTAAAACGATTGTTAATCAGTTCATTATCTATTAACAATTATCTAATGATTTTGAACTAAATGAACCAAAACAAAATATATTTTAATATATTATAATATATTCTAATATTTAAAAAAAAAACATTAATAATGAAATTTTATCTTATAATTATTCTTTTCCTATATGTATATTACGTATATTTTATAATACCATAGAATTCATTTATATTTAAATTTTTAGTATAACTTTTATAATTTTTACATTAAAAGTAATTTTAACGATTTGTGGATATTATTATATAGTTTAATATAATAGTAATATTATAGCATAGATATTATAATATCTATATATTCTTATATATTATATATATAATATTATATAATTTAATTTCTATAGCTTTTATAAATGTAACTGAGATATAATAATTATGATAAATAAATATTTTTTTTTAAATACAATTCATATTAATTTTTTACTTTTACTTAATTTTATTAAATAATACATTTATATTAAAAAATTATTATATATTCATGTACATAATATATGGATCAAATTCTTTAAACATACATCAAAATTTAATGAAATTTGAGACATTATATTATTTTCCTAACTTAATTTGTTATAAAAGAAAAATCTAAAAATTTACCCTAATATTTTTTTTCATTGATTTTTTTTTATTTTTCTACATTTTAAATTTTCATAAAGTTGTAAATATAATATTAGATATGATAAATTAATTTTGACTAAATCATGGAAATACTTTTTTTTTATTTTCAAATATATTTTATATAATATATTATATAATTTTAATTTTATGTAATTATTTAATTTTATGTAAAATAACTTCTTTGAACAGATTTTACATTATTGGAAAGATTAAACATTGAAATAATTCTACTGATTATCCATATCTTTTGTTAATTTTACGTTTGCGCTTTGGAAGTGATTGCTTGCAATAAGAACTCACTTGCTAAATAGATTATAATTTCTTTTAACATCATTAGATTCGATTGTTTAGATAACATGAATGAAAATAGAATGCAATTTAAAATTTTCAAATACACAAAGTATAAGTAATATATCGAATAGATATAGTACACTAGATATATTACTTCATTTATCAATAATAACTATCTTTCAATTATTTATAGTATAATATTGTATATATAATATTGTATAATGTAATATTACATTTTTAATATTATAATATTATATTATATTTAATTTTTTATATATATATATATATCATATTATATTTTATATAATTTTTTCATTTTTAATTTATAATATTATATAATGTAATATTATATTTTATAATATTACATAATTAATATAATTATAATAAAAATAAAATTATGTACTTGAAAACATTTTTAAATTATAATTTTTAAAATTTTTTAAATTATAATTACAAACAATATAATTTCAATGAATTGCTTGAATCGAAAAATAGATAGATAATTTAGATAAATTATGATCTGGAAATAAAATATTAAATTTTTAAAATTTTTAATAGAAAATCCATTCTTTTTTTTTTATAATATATTCATATTTTTATTTATTTTATTAATTTTATTTTTACAAATATATATTTTTCTTTATGTCATGTCATGCTTCTTATTTTTCTAAGTTTATTTTTCTAAGTTTATTTTTCTAACTATTTTTCAAATTTTCAATTTTTAATAAAAAAACGAGATTATGAAATTAAATACTTTTAAATAAAAAAATTTTTTTCAATTCAATACAACAATTTCTTTTTTCTTTTCTTTCTTTTTTTTTCAAATTCTTTTCTTTAAATTTATTTTATTAATTTTGTCATTTTATTGATATGAATAATAATGAGTACTACGTCAGAAATTTATATGCTTGAATTTCAGATGGCTTCACCTATTATTTAACTTGGGAGTACAAGTGGTTGTGGGACTTCCCCTGGAAATGGTTCATGGAAGTCTGAGGATCGCGGCCGTTTACATGGCTGGAGTTCTTGCCGGTAAGTAATTACTTATTACAAATCTCTACATTTTATTTACAAAGCTAATATAATTTCCCGTTTTAATCACAGTGTCTTCAAATTATATATGATGATATATATATGATATAGATTAAAAATATTTATAAATATAATAACTGATTATTCAATATGTTAACCAGATTTCATTGTTCACAAATCATTTCTTATTTAATTTATTTACAATTTTCAAATTTGTGATTATTAATAAAATATAATAAAAAAAAGTAAGGAGAGTAATATATAGTTTAATTTAATGCTCACACTAAATCGTTATCATTATCAACTATCTCGCGAAGATGATGAATTTAAAAGGAAAAGAAATTTTTTCATATTATCATATTTAAAAAATATGACTACATCTAATTCTATTTGATTACTACAAATATTGTTTCAATGTTATTATTCAATTCAACTTTCAAATATTAAAAGACGTAGAAAAAATTATAAATGATTTATTATATCGTCATCTTTTTTTTTGATATGAAATAAAACGAAACAAAAAAAAAATCTGAAAGAAATAAAATTTTTAAAAAATAACGATTTCAAAGAATAAAAGTTATATGATTTATTTTTAAATGAATAATATATAAATTTATAACATAAATTTTATTTTAAAAAAGTAGTTATTTTAAAAAATTAATTTATAAATTTAAAATAAAACTTAATAGATGGCATTATTAAATTCAAATTTCATTAATTCATATAGAAATATATATTTATATACACAGTATATATATATATAGATAGATAGAAAGAAATGACATACAAGAGTGTAATTCATTGTAATAAAATGCAATTATAGCTCGTACTGTTAAATGCATTTAACAGTAATTCGCGATACGAGACTCAATAATTGCATACATAATTATACGCTGGCATGTAATATATAAATGTAATGTTACCAATATTCACAATAATATTCCTGAATTTAAATCATTTGACGATTCTCACCCGCATAAATACTCGGCAGCTGCAACTGCCATCCAGTGACTCTATTTCTTCTCCGTAATAATTTGTCCCTTACCATTTACCATGTTTCAGGATTTTCCAGTGACATGTTTTTACTTTTCCTTATCCTTATTTCTATTTCCTCTTCTTCCATCTCTTCTTACATGTTTCCTTTTGCACTATATTATCTTGCTGTAAAGTAAAAGAATATTGGCGGGATTTTGTAACATTTCATAATATGCTTATATCAGATGATCAAAAAAGTTCTGATGTTCTGATGTTTTTTTTATAATATGAAAATATATAATAAAATGATTAATCATTTACAAAATGTGATTAATGTCCTTCTATAAACAGATTATAAACGATTGTAGACATTTAAAAAATTAAAAGTAAAATTAAAAATATACATTTTTGCACATACTTATTCAATTATAATGAATTTATAAAATATTTTTGAAAAAAGTTGTAATAAAATTTATAAAGAAAAATTTGAAACATCTATATTTTTTTTATTCTTTTAATCTTCTTTTTTTAGATTATATATATATATATATAATACATATGAAATATGTAATTTTTGTTAAAATTTAACAATCATCTCAAAAACACGACAAATAAAAAATATCTACAAAGAAAATTAATGAAAAGTTTTTTTATTTCTTGTACTCATTATATATATTTCTAAAATTGGTATATTAAGTATATAATTTTGTAAAAATATAATTTTTATTCAAATTGTTTTTTACAATTTATTTTCATGTTTTGAATATATTCACATTCACTTAATTCATTTAAATATAATATGTATCATATATAACGATTATTAGTCTCAATAAATAGTAAGTAATTAACAAAAAAAATTATAGAAATAAAAATTCTCTCCAAAAAGAGAATAGAAATATTTAATGTTACAAAATATCGAATAGATCAAAATTTTTAATAAGATTCTATTGTATTTAGCTATAATTTTCTTTTCTATTAAGAAAAAATATTGTGTAAAAATAATTAATTTAATAAATAATAATTTTTTATACATTTCATATATTTTCCTTTTTTCAAAAAATAAAAAATAAAACTTTCTTTATTGTTTAATGATATTAAATCTTTTGTTATTTTATTATAAGTATAAAATAATTATTCTTTTCCTTTTTTTAATGTATTATATTAAATAATATATTAAATCAATAGTTAATTTCAACTTTTAATAAAACATAATATTATATATATATATATATAGTATTAACAGTTAAAATTGTACGAACTTACATATATTAATATTTATTTATATATTATAATTAATTTATTTTTATATTAAATAGATAAATTAAAAATCACAAAATAATTACTTGTCATAATTTAAACTTTTATTTATTGATTTATATTTTCAAAAAATAAAAAATAACTTTCTTTATTGTTTAATCATAATCATAAATGATATTAAATCATTAACATATTAAATCATGATATTAATTTTGATTAAAAATAATATTTTTGTCTATGATAATATTATTCATTATTGTCAATGTTCTTTCAATTTACATATCATCGTTTGCTGTTTCCCATTATTTTTTTAATAATGGGCTTTTTTCCCATTATTTTGCGTTCATTCTTCATGCAAATAAATCATGGAACTTTAGATAGAAAAGACAGAAAAAGATAGAATTACGCATTCGTGTATCCATAAAAACACATTAATATACAGAGCAAAGAGGAGAATCGGATTGTACATTCATGTAAACTTAATTGTCGTTTGCATAAATTCGATTAGACTCAAATCCTGGGTTATTAACAGTCATGAAAGTAAAACGTTACAAAATAAGACGCATGAATAATAAACGAAAAGAAATTTTGGATATACCGGACACTGTAAATGCGGAAAATTGTAATATTGCGACCAGCGAAATCAAAACTATGGTTAAAAATCATAAAAGAAAAATGAATAGAAAGAATAGAGAAAGAACAAGGAGGAGGATTTTTTTAAGAAAAAATAAAAAAATAATTGAATGAAAGATTGTGCAAGAAATATTAGACTGCATTATTGCTAATCAATAGAATACAAATGATAATGCATTTATGGAAAATTATATTTTTTTTGTTAATTTTTTTACAAATTTTTATTATATATTTTGCATTTTTATTTTGCATGAAATTTTTATAAAAATTTCTAGTTATTAAATTTCTAAATTGATTTCAAAGTTAAAAGAACTATAATATAAAATTACTGAAAATATATTTTTTCCATATTATTATTTTATGATGATACGAATAAATTATTATTGTAATTTATTTTCATTATCATTAAGAGAATTAATCTGAAGATGTTATCATTTTCATGCAATTCTATTATATAGTAATAAAGTTGACTATAATTGAAATTGATATAGTTGAAAATTTCGTCTGATGTCTCATGATATGCATCAACAATGTTCACATCCCAAAAGTGTCTGTAATAAACATAGAATAAAATTCGTTTTAAAGTTCTGTGCGAGTTCTTATCGATTTTCTCCTAAAGTTACTATTTTTCGTGAAAATCGAACATGGCGATAACTTGTCTGGGGATACCATGACAAAATATTACTTCGTATATATTGCGGTCGTGTCCGTGTAATGCGATTATAACTAAATAATGGTATTTATATATTTCTTTCGTTACTTTTTTTGATAATTATGCATTATTTTTTATTTTTATTACTATTATTTTTGTGTTTTTAATTTTTATTTTTCTCTTATTTTATTTTTATTGATTCAGCGATTCTCAAATTTGTTCTATTTGTATTAATTAATTAATTAATAATTAATTAATTAATAATTTGTTTTGTTATTGAATTAAATAAAAAAATTTATAATGTAATATAATGTAAATATTAAATGTTTTGTACATATTAGTATTAATAAATTCATCTAATAATAATGAAATAAATTATAATCATAATTGTAATGAATAAAATTATATTTTATAATTTTTTAATTTTGTTATATATAAATTAATATCTATCAAATGCACATGCATTTGATTTTTTATTGATTTATAAACAAATTATATAATTATATCAGATTTATAACAGTTTAATAATTTTATGATTATCTTATAATTTGTATTGCATGTGTCAAAATTTAATTCATTATATTCAATAAGATGAACATCCTAAATAAAAATATGTATATTCTTTTTATTTTTAAATAAAAATATTATTTTTAAATAAAAAAAACATTTTATTATAATCTTATAAGATATAGTAACAAAATTATTTATAAAAAAAATTTAATTTTATATAAATTTTATATAAATATAATTTTTATGAATCGAAATTTATCTTTAATATGAAGATGGAAAATTAATTTGTAATTTTATTCACCATTTTATCTAATCATTGAGTAAAATAATGATCATATTGGAATAAGATTATATTAATTTAACGAATATAATTTTAACATATGAATAGCTCAATTCTTTCATATTTAATGCGAGATTCATATCATTTTAAATATTTAAGATATGGTATTCAATCTTCTAAAGAAGAATTTACGTATCTATGAATTTATCAATTCTGAACATATAATATCAACAATTTCTTTGTCTTTTATCGTATATTACAGATAATAAAGTATCCTGCGATGGACTTGTCTGTTTTATTTTTTAATATAATTTCATGGCATGATAATAGAAAACTTTAAAATACATTAAAATTAATATAAAAACTTTAAAATATATTAATTTTAAAAATTTTATAAAATAAATAAATTATAATTATGGAAAAAATAATAGATCACCATCTTATCATTGTAAATAAATAATTAACAGAATAATAATGAAAAATTTTTTTTTCCTAATCTTTATTTAATCTTCTATTTATTAATTTATAATATTAAAATATCATGTGAATTCGTAATTTTATTTTAATTTCTTATTCTATATAATATTAATTTTAATATTATTCACATATATTACTGAAAAATAAGTTATTAGTAAAAAAATAAAAAATATTTGCCATTTTATCAAATCAAATATTATTTTATGGCTATCTTCC